CAGTCAGGGTGCCCATAGTTGCACAACTGCAAGTTTTGGAAGGTGACATTGTCTTGAATGCCACAGAGGGGAGGGTTCATCTTCTGACTCTGCAGCCCACGGGCATACTGTTGTCAGATCAGAACCTCTCCAAGATATCTGAAGTATGTATCTGACCTATCTGATAAATATCAGCACTTTACTGCATTAGTATCCTACCCTAATGGAGTCCTGTACTGTTTTGCAATGCAATGGTATTGCAATCAGGGTCCATATCAGAGTATTGCAATTACTTCTGAAGACTGAATACGTGAAACTCAACCCTGCAATGCAAAAAAGCAAATAACGGACATTTGTAGTTTGGCAGGTGAGCCAAAAAGTTAGTTTGGCAGAAAAGGTATGAAATTAAAGGTTTTTTCCGCAGTGTCCAGGTTTTTTAATCGAAGTATTTTTCTGAAGTGAAACGCTATGCTCAATTGTCGCTCCCCCCCACACACTTTAAAGTCAATTTTTAAACAAATGAATGCTAGTTTGATGCAAAATAAATAATTTGATTAAAAACTGAATGCTTCAGCATGACTTAAATAATCACTCAACTGCCAAAACTTCAGGTTCAAACTTTTTGTACAGTTTTGTTGCTGAAATTAGTGATTAAATTAAACCCCAGATTCATGAATTCTTTCCAGAAATGCCCTAATGGGCTCTCTCCCTGCTGTGAATTGGAGGAAGCTTCATATGAGAGTTGATTTTGATCAGCTCATGTGCTGGAGTGATGGCACAGTAATGTAGAAGTAAGAACTGTAGCATATCTAACAGTTGTTTACATACCTCATAGGAAAATTATGAAACATACCAGTTAATGACGGTTCTTTAGTGACATTACTGAGTATCACAGACCTTGTTATTGAAGCTAAAAGGAATGGGAAAGAGTTCAAAAATTAAAAGTGAATGCTGCAGGGTGCATATCATTGATCAAAAAGACGCTGCAGAAGAAGAGTTCAGAGTTTGCCATTACTGCTTTTCCCAAAGGGCCATCCAATGGGATCCATATGAAGTAGGTATCTTCCAGTCACAGTGATGCTGAGTTCATCTTTCCAGTGACAACTCAAGCTGGTTTTTTGTTTGTTGTTTAGTTTTGTGTTGTGGGTTGTTTTTTTTTTTTTTTCCCCTCTCCAGTGAAGAGGTGTAGGGTTGCTGATTTAGCCCTTTATTTTTCTCCCTCAAGAAAAATGCAATTAAGTCCAAAAGGTTTTAGCCTTCAATGCTTACAGTTATGGAGTGAGAGACACAGAAATGTTAGCCCTTCTGTTTGGTGTCTGTGGTGAGGTATTGGGAGCAGGAAGAGGTGAGGGGGCTGCAGGGGTGGCTTTTGTGAGGAGAGGCTGGGGCTGCCCCGTGCCGGACGTGGCCGACTCCAGCAGACCCACTGCAGGGCACAGCTGAGCCCTTCAGCCATGAGTGGGGTGCCTCTGGGAAAGCATGCCTAAGAAAGGGTGAAACACTGCACGGCAGCGAGGAAAAAAGTGTGAGTAGCAGCCCTGTGAGCACCAAGGTGAGAGAAGGAGGGGGAGAAGGTGCTGCAGGTGCCAGAGCAGAGATTCTCCTGCAGCCTGTGGAGAGGGGACCATGGTGGAGCAGGTGTCCACACTGCAGCCCGTGGAGGACCCCGCACTGGAGGGGATGGAGATTTCGTGGCCTGTGGAGAGCCAGGCTCATCCTGAAGGACCCATGATGGAGCAGGGGGAAAATGTGAGGAGGAAGGAGCAGCAGGGAAGAGCTGTTATGGATTGCCCACGGCTGCCATCCCCCTGTGCTACTCAGGGCAGGGTGGGGAGAGGCAGAGTTGGAAATGAAGGAATGACAGGAATGAAGTTGAGCCTGGGGAAAAGATGCAGGCAGGAAGGTGTTTTAAATTTGGCTTCCCATCATCCAAAACTATTTTAATTGCAATAAATTAGTTTTCTCCAAGTTGACTCTGTTTTGCCTGTGATGGTAATTGGTAAGAGACTTTCCTGTCTGTATCTTGACCCATGAGCTTTTTCATCTTATTTTCTTCCCCTGTCTTGTTGAGGAAAGGAAGTGAGAGAGGGACTGGGGGTGCATCTGGCAGCTGGCCAAGGTCAACACAACACAACCCTAAAGTCTTTTTCAAGTCTATGTAAATTGTGGCTCTGTTTACAGTCCAAGGTTATAATTTTGCTTGAATGAATACTCCTTCTTGCTTCTTCAGATTCTTTAGCAATAATCTAAAAAAATATGTGCCTGGCATGCATTTACACTCCCATGCCTTTTCATGTCTGTGTGAATGATCTGGCTTTACAGAAGTAGTTTACAGTGCATAAGTAGTTACAGTACGTATGTATTTATGTATACATAAATATTTTGCGTGTTGATTCATTTATGTCCTTCAGCTTTTTCTGTTACAGTTATTAAATACATGGGACAAAACTACATGTACCAAGTTGCTGCATTTAAATTTTATCATCTGTCCATTGCAGTTATTCATGCTGTTTTAGCATGCCTTTGCAGTAAACATCCGTACCAAATAAATTTGCTCTTGAGCATTTTATGCTTTTATTAAGTATTTGTTAAATGAGATGCATGGTATTCATGCAGTCTGCTGGTTTGTGCACTGAAACCCCAGAAAATGCATTGTTTGTAAATTCTTTATGCAGAATGAGCCAAGGTTTTCCTCCTCTACCGAAGCATGTTAGGGTCCAGGATACGTTGCTGTGAGTGTAGTGTTTTCCTACATGTAGGACCGATTTGGATGGTTTAAGACCTGGATAATGGGTACAGCAATTCCTGCGTATCCTTAGTGCAAGCTGCAGTGTCTACTCACCTTGTGAAACTTGTCCTAAGTGTCAAAAATTTATGCTGGATAAGAGTGGTCTGGTGATAAAATACCAAAGTCACTTTTAACTGCTTTTCTCTCCATAGTAAGCATTAGTTAGTACACCTTTAAGAACGTAATTTTTGTCAAGAATGGAATTTCATGGTTTCTAAAAAAAAAAAAAAAAATCTCAGGACTCTTGTTCTTCTGAAACTGGGAGGGTGAGACACCACTTACGCTGGAACTTTTCTTACCATGCAACTACTTGTACTCATGAGCCTATCTATTTGAGTTCCTCCCCAGAAAGGGGATCGGGTTTGTTCATGGAGGTAGCAGCTATCTAAATATTACAGCCGTACGGAAGTCTGGTTAGGATGTAGCACATTAGGATGATACCAAGCTCCTACTGCATATTTGTTGTGTATGATGAATGGCCAATACAGGAAGCAGTCTGTGTGCTGTGTGTGATCAACTGCTTGTTGTAATAGAGGAACATTGCTTAATCTGAAACTGGAGACTGGGGATTTTTGTTTAGTTTTGTTTGTGTTTTGAGAGGTGTTATCAACACGTAGCAGGGAAGAGCATCCTTAAGGGTGCTCAGAGAGGTGATTTTTTAAATTTTTTTTTTTTTAAAGAGTTTATTTACAAAATAGGCTTAGGCTATGAAATCCAGCTATGGGTTTCCTGTTACAAACTCTGATTTCTTTCATTTGGGGCAAGATACTGCTGAAGCCTGCTTTGGGCTGTATACAGAGCATATTATATGAACAGTTGCTTTGTGGTTTTTTTTTTTTTTTTTATATAATAGTCTAGTATTATTTGGTTGCTGCCACAAAAAAAAAAAATTCCAAAAAATTCTGCATCAAATCTGTGAGATAGCACTTCAAAATAAATAGACCAATAATTTTTAATACTCTTATTACAAAGCAAAGTTAAGCCAAAATGCAATTGCTGTCTGGAGTCCTATCTGAAGTTACTTTGCAGTACTATCTGAATTTACTGTGCCCTACTGTCTAAGGAGAAGCATTGCAAATATCTAGCATCAGTGTTAATGTATAGTCTGCTGTAGGGGGTCATAAGCAGATGACATGGAACAACAGAAGACAGACATGCTCAGGAACTTTTCAAAAAGATATGTTCTTATATACCTGCTTTTTGCATGCTCAGTCATTCACTAGTCTTTTTTTAAGTTCACACTGTTGTTATTTCCCTTATCTATATATTTATACATATGTTCAGGTTTTGTGCTGATGGTGTTATAGAGTAATGTATGTAGCTGTTTTCTGGAGACTGAGTTTAATATCAAGAATGATGAAATTTGACATCCTCAGGTTTTCATACCTTCATCCTTACACTGCACCAATATGTACAGGTTTCCATAGAAATTTTACTAGCACTTATTATTAGCTAAACAAATAAATCCTGCCTTCCTATAGTTTTAAACCCTGTACACAGGTAGCGTAAGGTCAGCATATGTTAGGACTTATATGGAGATCATGTTTTCCCCTTATGTTATACTTGCTTTTCTGATGAGACAGAAGGCTTAGCTTCTGCTATTTGTGTTTCGTAGTCATCTTCAGGATAAACTAAGAAAATAACCTGCATGGCACATACTGGCTGGTAAAAGTACATCCTGAGAAAAAAAACTATTTGTTTACTGATCATGTTAACTTGTTCTTCAGCATGGTGCTATGTGCAGGTTTGAATGATTCTTAAATGAGTGATTTGTAATTTTGGTCTATTCACAGACCTTAGGCTAAAGCACTTTGAGATATCTAGGTTATTGGGTCTTTTTGAGATGCTGTGATTTTAGTGAGAGTTAAGAACGAAAAGATCTGGGTTTTGACTGGAATAATGCTTTCATTTGCACATTCACCTAAATGCTATGTACTTAGATGTGATCTAGATCAGATTGGTTAAATAACATTAACATGATTGCTGATGCAGTATATTTTCTGAGGTTATTCATACCCATGAAAATTCTGTAAGAAAATAGTTTAAAATATGTTCACAGTAAATCTTACAGTTTTCTTTTTTATTCATGGATTTTAAGTGTTTTAAATTGATTACTTTTTGATGCAGTGCTTACAGTAATACTGTTGAATTAGCTATGAAAATAGTTCATGCAAGTTGCTTTTAATTATGTGCCAATGATTTATTTGTTTGTTTCTCTCCTTCTGTTTGTCAGGAAAAGAAGAATATATTGCGACATTCAAGGGATCAGAATACTTCTGCTATGATTTATCTCAGAATCCCATACAGAGTAGCAGTGATGAAATAACTCTGTCGTTTAAAACACTTCAGAGGAACGGACTGATGCTTCACACAGGAAAATCGGCTGATTATGTCAATCTTGCACTGAAAAATGGAGCTGTCTCCTTGGTCATTAATTTGGGCTCAGGGGCCTTTGAAGCACTGGTGGAA